ATCATCAGAGTATCAATCATAATTGATACATAAACTTAGGAATCGAAACTCTCAAAATCTGAAGATGATGTTTTATGGTACAGAAAAGCAGGCTAAGAGGTACCAAGTGAACCCAGAACTTTTTTTTTTTTTGGAGAGGTTTTTGCTATAGGGCGCGTGCGCTCGCCAGACAGACAGAGAGAGACATAGAGACAGAAAGTGAGAAATCACCCCCCAGGGGGGATGGTCACGCCGCAATCCCTTCTCCTCCATTCTCCTCTCGGGATCTTGGGCACGCACGCACACGCGCCCGGCGTGAGTTTTAAGCCACCGGGTCTGGGACGCAAACTGCGGTCTACTATGTGGGAGTCCAGTGACATAGCCATTATGCTAACTGCTGGTTCCCAACCCAGAACTTTTGAGTAATGCATTTATTCAACAAGTGGCAAATCCTGCCAAAAACCTGGAAGCTGTGGGGATTAGAATGCTGTGCAGTTGGACTATTTGAGATTTTATAGCCAAGAACACTGGCCCCAGGGAACAGCTCCCCATTCCTTTCACATGTGTAGTTCTTTCTACAGGCCATAGTTGTGATTACAATGAATGGGTTACAAAACAGCCTTAAGATGAAGGTGATATAAAATCAATTTCTGAAACCTCCTTATCCTCCTAAAAACCTCTTCTACTCTCAACCCCTAAATTTACTAACCCCTTCGGGAATTCCTGGTGTTTTTCTTTGAGGTGTCTTCCACTTTAATGGTAGTCTACAAGGAACCCATATTCAGAAGCCACTGGTCCAAATCACTTTTTTTTTTTTTGAGAGTTTTTTAAATTTTTTTCCGCTATAGGGCGTGTGCGCTCGCCAGACAGACAGAGACATAGAGACAGAAAGTGAGAAATCACCCCCCAGGGGGGATGGTCACGCCGCAATCCCTTCTCCTCTGTTCTCCTCTCAGGATCTTGGGCACGCACGCACACGCGCCAGGCGTGAGTTCTAAGCCACCGGGCCCGGGACGCGAACCACGGTTGACTACGTGGGAGTCCAGCGATATAGCCATTACGCTAACTGCTGGTTCCCAAACCACTTTTTGTAGGTGGTCTAAATGAGCACAACTATACACATGTACAAAAGTTTATATGCTATACAAAGAGGAGCTTTAAACCAAGAGTATTCTAAGGTTGGTTGCATAATAAATGCTCTCTTCCTCTACTGTCTCTAAATATAGACTAAATACTTAGAGACTCTAAATACTATTTGGGCTTAAAAGTACACAGGACAGGGCCAGCAGGTGGCGTGGTGGTTAAGGTGCTGGATCCCACATGGCAACTCTATGAGTACTAAACCCAGTGGCTTGAAAAACATGCTGGGAGTATGTGTGTGTGTACCCCAAATCCTGAAGGAGACTGAAGAAGGGATGTGCTGTGGCCAGGACCCGTGGGGGGTGATTTCACTTTCCCCCCTCTGTCCTCGAGTGAGTGCACACACCTTATAGCAAAAATCTTAATTAAAAAAAAAAAAAAGACAAATTTGTTTAAATGAATAAACTATGGAAACATATTTTGCATTTTGTTTTGCTTCTCATTATTCCTCAAATCTTCAGAAATTTTGAGAGATGAGTCTATTAGTTGAAAAACAAGGACCAGTGAAATACCAGAAGAATCTAAAAATGATTAAACTACATTCTGCACACAACTTACCTAGATTTACCCCTGAGGTTTAACCGAGATTAGATCCGGGTAATAGGGGCCACAGTTGCTCTTCCATGAAATATACCCTCCTACTTCACATAAGTATGTGGTCTACATCTACCAGTGGTAAGTTTCCAGTTACAATTTCCGATTTTTTGAATTGCCAGAGGGTATGGCATGTGCACTTGCCAAAGGCAGAGAGAGAGAGAGAGAACACCCTGCAGTGGGGTGTGGTCACACCAAGTCCCTTCTCCATTTCTTCATTCTTTTGGGATTTGGGGCATGCACCTGGCATATTGTTCAAGTCATTGGAGCCAGGATTCAAAACACAACCGTTGACAATGTGGGATGGACTCCCTTATCACTAGACCATTGGTCCAGTCCTTAAAAGAAAGTTTGATCACAGGTGTTTGTTAAGTATAAATGCCAAGTGTGTGTTTGTTTTTTTTTTTTTTTTGAGAGGTTTTTGCTCTAGGGCGTGTGTGCTCACAAAAAGAGAGACAGAAAGTGAGAAATCGCCCCCCGGGGGGATGGCCACGCTGCAATCCCTTCTCTTCCATTCTCCTCTCGGGATCTTCGGCACGCATGCACACGCACCTGGTGTGTTTAAGCTACTGGGTCTGGGACTCAAACCGTGGTCGACTACATGGGAGCTCAGTGACATAGCCATTACGCCAACTGCTGGCCCTGAAAGAGCTACTCTTAATAATGAATCCACCAAAGGGAGAAGGAAAATGAGAGGAAAAGAAATCTGCAGGCGCAGGTTGCAGAGTGATAACACAACTAGACCCAAATGGGAACCATCCTGGGTTCACAGGTTCACATTCCAAGGACCTCCCTTAGCACACCAGGTGTGCACACGTGTGTGTGCATGTACACATTTGTGTGTATATGGCCCTCATCCAGGTAGGCTGAGTCTGGGAGTGGATCTCGATATAAAGATGTGAAACTCTGGGCTGGGGTGTGGTTCTCTTTCTCTCTCACGTAAGAAATAAACTTAAAACAAGTAACAATGCAAGGGTCAGGAGGCGGAGTGGTGGTCCACATGCTGGATCTCACATGGCTGACACTACCATTCAAGTCCTGTCACCAACAGCTTGAAAATCACTACAGGCATGTGTGCAAATGCACCACCCCAAGGGGTTGTGGTGTGGCCGTGCACACAGGAGAATAATCTCGTTTTCCTTCTCTCTCTCTCTTTGATGAGTGCATGTGCCCTAGGGCAAAAGGCAAAAAAAAAGAGAAGAAAGCAAGCAACAATACAACATAAACATTCGATCCTCAGTAGTAAGGACTTTTGATGGCGTAAGGCACCAACTTTACGTACCTCAAAAGACTAACTTTCAGTACCTTTACAAGAATTAAGAGAAATCATTGTTTTGACTATGTGTTTTATAGTGTATCAAATTGGGGGCCAGCAGATGGCATAGTAGTTACGTTGCTGACAATGGTTTGAGTCCCAGACTCAGTGGCTTGGAAATCACGCTAAGTGTGTGTGCGTGTGCCTCTGAGAGGAGAATGGAGAAGAGGGGATTGTGGCATGGCCATCCCCCCCCGGAGGGGGGGTGATTTCTCACTTTTCCTGTCTGTCTCTGTGCACCCCTCCTCTGGTGACCACACACACCCTAAGGTAAAAAAAAAAAAAAAAAAGAAAGAAAAAGAAAAAAAAACCCTCTTAAAAAAATTGTATCAAATTGTAGGTTTATGTTTGACAAAGTCTTATGGCCCACCAAATAAGGCACAAGGACCTAAAGAATAAACACAAAGCTAGTCTATAGTGTTTGACTTAATGTGATTTAGGATCCCTCCTTTTTTCTTCTAAAAGATAATTTAAATGATGCTCTCTGTTGTATGTGTCTACATTTATTCAGATTATTAAGAGATCTATTCATTCCAGGGAACCAGCAGTTAGTGTAATGGCTAGCTATATCGCTGGACTCCCACATAGTTGACCGCGGTTCACGTCCCGGACCCGGTGGCTTAAAACTCATGCTGGGCGCGTGTGCATGCATGCCCAAGATCCCGAGAGAAGGGACTGCAGCGGGACTGCCCCCCCGGGGAGTGATTTCTCGCTTTCTGTCTCTTTCTCTCTCTCTGTCTGTCTGGCGAGCACATGCGCCCTATAGCGAAAACCTCTAAAAAAAAAAAAAAAAAAAATCTATTCATTCCAGAACACAGAACATTATAAGCCACAAAAACCTCCAAACTCTATTGTTGATATAAGCAGATTCAAAATGAAAAACAAAATTTAAAAAGATTTTCTTTTATAAAACCTCCTGCTTCTCTATTGTAAATACAACTTTTGAACAAGAATGTACTACACTATTATTAATAATCAATAAACTTGTTAGAAGGGTCACTGAAATGTCAATCTGGTAGGTTCTCAATCATCGCAGCTGGTTTTCCAACAACCTAACTGTGCCATGGGGCACGTACGCTCACCAGAGACAGAGAAGAAGTGAGAAATCACCCCCAGGAGGATGGCCATGCCACAATCCCTTCTCCTGTCAGGATTTTGGGCACTCATGCACACACACCCGGTGTGACTTTCAAGCCCCCAGGTCTAGAACTTGAACCGTAGTCAGCCATGTTGGAGTCCAGCGCCTCAACCACCATACCACCTGCTGGCCCTGGGGCCATGAAGAACCTTTAGCCTCCACTTGGTGCTCATAGGACTTAAAACAGTTGGTGGTGGACCACCAGTTGGCATAATGGCTATGTTGCTGGACTCCCATGTAGTCAACCGTGGTTTGAGTCCTGGACCCGGTGGCTTAAACTCACTCCAGGCGCACATGCGTGCGTGCCCACGATCCTGAGAGGAGAATGGAGGTGATGGAATTCCGGCATGGCCATCCCCCCAGGAGGTGATTTCTCGCTTTTTGTCTCTCTGTTCGTCTTCATGGTGAGTGCACACGCCCTATAGCAAAAACCTCCCCATAAAAAAAACAATCAAACGAAAAACAGTTGGCCGTGTTCAAATGTGAAAAACTGCATATGCAAGGAATATGGAGAAAATTGCTTAGAAGTAAATTATGTAAGATCACATCTAAAGATGAAGTATAACTGGAAATTCCAGAATAATTTCTGAGCTCTGAACAATTTCTCCCTATTTTTGGTCCACTATTTTTTTCAGAACCAATGTTCACATATATTTTTAGGAATGTACTGAGTAGGTATGAAAGAAAGGGATTTCCTGTGTTGAAATGAAGAAAAAAAAATCTGACCCAAGGACTAGTTTTGTTCATATTTACTGAATAATTCTGTAAGATCAGAAAAAACTGACTCAGCAATTGACAAATGCAAGCCAAGAAATTCAACACTAATCTACAGCAAAAGGTGCTACACAAGAGACATTTATTAATGTTCTGTTGTATTTACAGTTTTAACAATGCAAACCAAGGTGAATTACCACTTGGCAGAAAGCACATCATCCTACATTTGTAACATCGGTTTCTGCTAACACATTGTAAAAGCTAGTAGTACAGCCTGTTAGGGATCATCTCAAAAGTTTCAAGCTAATTCTTTCTTTGCTCCTAATACCTAATCCTCTCCCTACATCCATCTCTTGACCTGATCATCAGAAGACGAAAGAAAAAAGGGTAGGGACTCTAATAGTACAGAAAGTGTCAAAAATTACATTTTAGTAATTAGCTGCATTTGTTCTTGTCGTTTCAATTTTATACAGCGACAACATCTTTAGAATTCCTTAGGTACAGACCATAGAACAATAAGGTACTGTGAAATTTCAAACGAAGACTATAGAAAAAAAAAAAGAATGCTTACTATTTACCAGTTAAGAACAGACTTTTGGACCACACCTTAAGTGTATTTTGCACTATGAGTTTGTTTCCAGTTGTTCACACAGTACATTTCTAGATTAATTTTAACAGCAAATATGGATTGTGTGCAAAAAATGCAGTCATAACAGAAACTTTATCTTTTGAGAAAACCCCTTTAAAATGACCAGCATTATACATATCTTACACTAAAATATTTAATTCCAAATTCATTTTGAGATGGAGGGTGAATAAAGCAAGATTGCCCCCTACTGACTACAGGGACACGGCTCATGCTATTTAAAATGACTACAAACAATATATAAGGCATTATTAATACATCACAGACTTGATTGCGAGAGCTTTTTCAAACATTAACCACTAATGATTCAATGATTACAGAATTCTGCAGTAACTATTAAAATTTTACACCTAGAAACAAATAGAGAGAAACGATCTTTTTCAACAGTACTTTATTTTTTTAAAGCAGGTGATTAGTCCTCTGTGTTCCGCATCTTGATTCACTTCCTGCAGGTGTTCTCTAGCTTCTTGAGAGAGAATTCATAAGCGCAGGAAGGCCTTTGCCAGAAAACACCTGCCAGAGGAGGATATTGAATATTGAAACTAGTTAGCTTGCTATTTTGGCTGACAGAAGGATGTAGTCGCGAAAGAAGGCAGGATGTTCAGAAACGTGTTTTGACATCGTTTTAAGATTACTATATACTGACATCATAGTATTCCATAAACATTAACATTTCACTTCTCAAAGTTATCAAGGCCTCCGGAACTAGAAAGAACTACAGTGCTTTTTCCAAGAACCCATGCGGTCAGAAGTCTGTCTCTCCAAACCTCCTAACGGAAGAACAGAATGGAAGCAGCACTTCTTAATCCCATATTTAACCTGGTCGGAAATGATGGAAAAGTGGACAGAGAAACAGAATTCAGGTTCTAAAAACTACTGTTTATTCTGATAATTCAGCTAATCTCACACAAGGAGGATTTCCAGAGGGGATGTCAATGATGCCCACGTGACAGCACACGGCATCGGTTAAAAAAACTGGGGCGCTTACAGGTACTACAAATACATTGTTCTTGGTGTTTCCAGATTTTTTTTTTTGGCGGGGGGGAGACATAATGTGTGTGTGTTTGCCAGGGAGACAAAGACAGTGAGAGGGAAAGTGAGAAATCACCACCCAGGGATGAATGTCACACCGCAATCCCTTCCCCTCCACTCTCCTCTTGTGATCTTGGGCACACACACACGCCAGTGTGAGTTTCAAGCCACCAGGTCTGGAACTGGAACTGCCACTGGCCACTTGGGAGTCCAGCTACATAACTGCTATGCCATCTGCTGGCCCCTACAAATATTTCAATATAAAGTTTCTTAAAAACCCAATATATTTTTGGGTTGTGTTTCTCTAAAATAATAAATTTATATAGTCCCAAACTAATTTTATGAAAGGAATATACATAACTGAAATAAATGCTCTCAAAATAGTGCCCATACATGGTATTCAATGCGTTTTTTATTTAACAATTTGACATGTTTCTGTACTGGCACAGTAGTTTGTCTTCGGTTCTTGTGGAAGTAACTCAGGAAGAGCTGCACGTACCTCTCTGTAGTCACACTGAGAGGGGAAAGGCTGAAGTGATACACCACTGAGAAACTACTTGGTGGTCCCTGGCGCCAAGGAAGAGCTGGGTGGGCACATGTATCACCCGTTAGCTCACTTCCCCGGCACTCCAAAGTACTATAAAAGCCACAAGCAATTCTTTTATATCTTTTCTGATTAAACTACTGCATAAATCTTTAAAAAGCTGCCAAAATGGAAAGAATCTACAACACTGGGGAAATTAACATATTTTTTAAAAACCATCAACATGTTTCCAAACTCTGAATTCAGTTATGTTTTGATTTGAAGTAAACTGATGATACTGATACAGGGGCAGCTTTTCTTTAGATTGAGAGAAATAGAGAGACTGAAAGCCCTCGGAATGTGTACAGGCATCAAAGAGAGACACAATAAGAAAAAGAACTCTAAAAGCTAAGCAGAAGCAAAAAGAAAACTGGTAGATCCACGTTAAGTTAGATTTCTGCAGTGAAGTCAGATCCATTACAAGCCTACTTCCAGGGACTGTCTGATGGATGAATATATATGTCTCACACACACACACACACACACACATATATGTATATCCATCCGTTTATTTATTTATTTAATTTTGGAGGGGTTTTCACTATAGGGCAAGTGTGCTCGCCAGAGAGAGAAAGAGAAAGACAAAGAGACAGAAAGTGAGAAATCACCCCCCCCAGGGGGGGTGGCCACGCCACAATCCCTTCTCCATTCTCCTCTCCGGATCTTGGGCACGCATGCACACACGCCCGGCATGAGTTTAAGCCACCAGGTCTGAGATTTGAACCGTGGTCAACTAAGTGGGAGTTCAGTGACGTAACCATTACGCCATCTGCTGGTCCCTATTTTTTAGTTTTTAACCATAGGGCACATGCACTTGCTGGAAAGACAGAGACAGAGAGAAGGAAGTGAGAAATCACCCTGTAGAGGGGATGACTATGCCATAGTCCTTCCTCTTCTGTCTTCCTCCTGGGATTCAGGGTGCACATGCACATGCATCTGGAGTGATTTTTCAGGTTGCTGGATCTGGGACTTGAACTGCAGCTGGCCATATGGAAATCCAGAGCTTTGGCCACCATACCACCTGCTAACCCCTCTTTATTTATTTTTAAATTCTAAATACTGCTGTAAATTCCTAAACCCTTAAGGCAGAGCTCTGATTCCTCTCTGAATGTCAGGAATAATTTCAAAATAGTCAGGGTATTAAAGCTGGGCAGAATAAACTCTATTATGCCTTCCAACGGGAACATTCAACTTTTCCCTGAGGAGGTTTCCAACAACTCCTAAAGTAGACTTCTGAAGCACTCTCAGACTTCAAAATTCTCATTAAGTCCCTCACAATAAAGGAAAACAATTTCATGCTCTCTCTCAACCCCGCTGCTATGTAAGTAGAAGCAAGATGATGAAGGTGTGCAATGCCCTAAACACTCAAATCTCCTTCTAACTTAAGAATCACGGAGACCAACGGGTGTGATAGAGAAACTCAGAGCTACCATTAAATAAAAGAAACCAGCAGCCTTTGTAAGGACTTAGGGGAGGTGGTGTGGTGGTTAAATCACTGGACTCCCATATAGCTGAGAATGGTTTGAGTCCCAGATGTGGAGGCTTGCTTTCTCACTTTCTCTCTATAGATGTCTGGTGAATGTAAGTGCCCTATAGCAACATTTTAAAAATTAATATTATATAAGATTAAATAAATAATTCTTTAAAAAAAAACCAATAAGGTCTTAGACTTAGTAACAGGAAATACTAATTTTTGAATCTTTGGTAATTAGAGTTAAACCTAAGGCTAACTATAAATCACAATCAGACACATGGATGAGTGAAGACAATGGTAACTGAATAAAGGTACACAGGACATCTGATAAACTTCTTTAAATTAGGATGTCCTCGGGCCTGTGGCCTGGTGGTTAAGGGAGCCAGAGCCCATATGGCCAACTCAGAATTTTCAATCTCAGCCCTTGCAGCTTGAAAAATATGCCAGCCATGTGAGCACATGTGTCCAAACCCAGACAGGATGGCGAGATGGAAAAGCGACTACAGTATGAGCATGCCCTAGTGAGGGAGCTTTCTCCCCCTTTCTCTGTCTCTGTTTCTTTCTGGTGAGTATGTGCACTTTCTGGTAAATTAAGGAAAAAGAAAAAAGAAAGAAAAGTGGTAACAATGTCCGTCTTTGTGACTAAATTCAAATTCAAGACATGTCACTCCCTTTTGAAATTGCAATAAGGTTCCTCCTCTTAAAACACACAAGTATACACTACTTTGAAGAATACGACTTCAATGCAAGCCTATTTTATAAACTATCTGTTACTTTAGTAAGTACTTCAGTATGTACATTTAATACCATGTATAAAATGCTTAATATAGTAAATGATAACATGGTGAAATCATCAGTGTAAATGTCTGACATGTTTATTACACCACGCTTGAAAAAACTTTTGTTACATTCAATAAGGTCGCATTATTCTGTTGCTTAAAAGCTTTTAATGCTGCCCCATAACCTGGCAAATTAAATATGGTGCTTTATTTTCTTGAGGGATACATCCTGCCACCGGCCTCGGCCCTCAACATCAAGAACCCCACATTTAGTAGATATGAACTATACTACCCAGCAGCGACGACAGAACAAATTGATGATAATTAGGCTTACGCTGAGCCAACACATTACTGGGTTTAACGGGTAGCTCCATGAACTTAACAGTTCTACTGCACGTCCGCTTAGTGCTCAAGGAATATGAGAGCACGGCTTCAACCTGCCTTTCCAGCCCTGATCCGCCATGCTCCTTTATGCTTCCGTCAAGCTGTTGAACCTGCCCCAAGCTCTAGACTTCCTTGCCTTGACTTGTGCTCCGCATTCTGCCACAGGTGATCTGGAAATTCTCCCCACATTATGCAGTGTCCACTGGCTGAAATTCTACCCCTCCTAGAAGGCTTCTCTCACCCTGGCCACCCGCGGCCTTTACAGAGCCTTGTCAGAGGCCTCCAGGTGGACTGGCCTATAGGTGGTGTTCAGGATCTGCTCTAGGAACCATCCAGACTTCTAAAGCCCCAAGGAACAAAGAGCCAGTCCAAGAAGGCCTACCAGATGTGTCACCAGAGAGGTCTCTCTCTGGTGTACTCCTTCTAGAGTCCCTACCTCTCCCTTCAGGCAGCTACTGATAGAAGATGGAATCAGCCTCTGAGCAAAACCAAAATCAAAGCAGCACTGTGACAGGGCTTGTCCTCCGATCTAGGCAAGGGAATGGTCCTTTCTCCCTACCTTTCCGTAGGTCTGACTCACCTCATCACTACCGAGATACCATCAGGGTATGAACTAGAATAAGGGCACCAGGAAAACCTCCTTGACTAGCTTTGAGAGAAAGAAGCTTTGATGGGCGGGGCCAGCAGGTGACATGGTGGTTAGGACACTAGATTCCCACGTGGTCAACTGTGGTTCTGAGTCCTGGACCTGATGGCTTGCAGACTCGCTTTCCCTTTCCCTCTGGTCAGTTTTTTTTTTCTTTTTTTTTTTAAGAGAGATTTTTGCTATAGGGTGTGTGCGCTCACTGGAGAGACAGGGACAGAAAGCAAGCAATCACCCCCCAGGGGGATGGCCTTGCCACAATCCATTCTCCTCTTGGGATTCTGGGAGTGCATGCACACGCACCCAAAGTGAATTTGAAGCCGCTGGGTCCAGGACTCAAATTGTGGTCAACTATGTGAGAGTCCAGTGACACAACCATTACGCCATCTGCTGGTCTCGTAATTTTAAAAATAATAACAATGAATAATGCCTAAAAAAAAAAAGGAGCAGCCCCAATGGGCTTGTTAGTAGCCCAGGCAAAATGAGTTCTTAAATAACCTACAGTAGATCCTGGCTCTGGGGTTTAGGGGCCCTACATAGTTAGAGGAGAAAGACTGGGCCTCAGGGTGCCTTCTTAATGTTGTCTTCGGGAACTGGTGCTACAGTACAGAGGATTCAGAATTTCACATTCCATCCAGCAGCTCAATAGCTCAGCATCCTACCTCCCTGAGGACTGCTAGGACTCCCAAATTCTCTCATCAACAGCTTTCCACAGAACCCCTAACTAAACTAGAAACTGCTAAAAGACAGGGATCGTGTCCTCCATACTTCCTCCCCCCCAGACACACTCTCTTTCTAAAGCTGAATGGAAACCTGCAACGTGTCACATGATTACACCGGGACTAGAATAACATTTTTTCTTTAATACCTTTAATAAATAAAGAGAACTCTGGTCCTGGGGAGATTTGAGAAAGTTTCTGGCATCTTCCGAACTTTTGCATAATTGATAAATCCTCTGAGAAACAGGAGAAAACCTAAAACCAAGAACACCCACTAGAGCCAGTATTGACCATCAAAGTATCCAGGGAAATAGGTACGATAATGCCGCCCATGGCAAGGAGAAAATCAGCTAGTTCAAAGCAAAATAGGTAAAACAGAAAAAAAAAAA